ACGTCACACGATGTGACCGATTTACGCACTGCGTCCTAAAATGAAAATTTTATAATTCCAAACTAAGACTGGAGGCAAAAAAGCCATGCAGGACATTACCTGAGGCCTGTAAGAAGTACTTTTCCAGTGAGGCTCGACATTTATTCCAACTTTAGGGCATTCTTGGTACTGCTACTTACTAACTTTACGTGTCTCACTTGAAACCATTAAAGGTCGTGTTCAATAGAAATATTGCAAATTGTAATCGATCCATATTTTTCGCGTATTTTAAGAATGAGTTATCAAAACCTATTGAAAGTTAACAATTCTAGTTCAAACTGTCATCAGAATTTTAAGAGTAACAAATCCCGCTACCTACTCATACCATCACAGTTCCTTTTTTAATTCTCGTCTTTTTGTTTGATCTTCTTGCTTCCCAAAATTCCATTCAGGGAAAAAAGCTCTAATTGTTATCGTTGCTAATAGTCGATAATAACTTTTCCCCAATACAAACAAAAGAGAAAAGACAACGGGACTTCTCGAATGCAGCAGAAACCTGAGGTCACCCGCTACGTCACCAAATACGTACCGGCGTGGTCTTTGAGGGGGATTTGTATCATTATGAAATTCCTCATTTCACATTTCGGGAGACATAGCTCTTCAGGGAATGTTGGAATGAGTAAACCAATGTTACGGTTTGAATATGGTTGCAGAACTGAAAGGTAAACGAAAAATGGAAGAGCTGAAGACTAAATTTAAATTGAGCAAAAATGAAAGAACTGAAAATTACAAGTAAGAAAAATTGATGGATGATTAAAATAATAATGAATAAAAACAACCAAATAATAATGAATGTATTGAGTTCATATTGAAAACTGTAAAACAAGAAGAAACAATTAATGTGAAGTTGAAATACAAGAATGATCTTCTTTCTCCTCTCTTATCATCAACATATTGACAGATGACACGCAGTGTGTTCAATTCAATTCGAAATGGAATAAAGACACTTTGAGGTATACATATCGTTTCAGTTGTTCGATTTGTGTGTTCTGTTCTTATGCATAGGTATGTGAGGTACTATAATAAGGGACAAGCAGGTGAAAGTAATTGATTAAGTAATAATTTCAAACAAATTTCCCCTTTTTATTTCATTTTATGTTCAGTTGCATTTCTATTTTTGATTAATTTATTCAAACATATTTCAGAATTCATATTTGCAATCGTTACCAATATTGTAAGTTCCTTCGAGTAAAGCTTTTTTGAAGATCGTTTGTTCATTTACGCTATTTAAGTTTTTGTTCAAATCCTATACTTATGATAAAGTATGTTGTCAACAGTTTGGTAGTCTAATAAATATGCGTCGCTTGCGCATCAAAAATTTGAGCGAGTTCGGAAGACATTATCGCGTGTTGGTATCGCAAGCCAAGAAGCCCATCTGAACAACACTTCAGATTAGTATGAAAATTCAGGCCCAAGAAACTTTTATTTTGACCATCGAACATACTCTGTAATTTGTTTCGAATTTGCTTGCTTTTACTTAATTAATAAGACAAAGAGATTAACCACAGAGACATGGAAGTCACTTTTGCTCTTTAATCTTTATCACTAATAAAACGGATATATGGGAGGGGATACGATTAAAACGGATATTGCCAAATAAAGTTTGGAATTTCAAACTTCTCGCTTGATTTTCCTGCATTTTAATTGGCTTATCTAATGATCAGTGATTTTTCATAAAAGTTTTCGGAAAGGTTGATGGTCGGCATAAGTACTATCTAAATATTGGCAATTACGGTGATGCAGTCGAAATATGGAACAACTGCTAAAGTCGCACTTCAGTTTAATCCTGAATGTTATGAGCGGAAGAAGTAACAGAGTGAAAAAACGGTTGTAGTTTTGAAGCAGATAGTAATGAGCCAACTGTTTCTACTGAGCAGCTGTGAGTTCCATCATCAATATCGCGAAATAAAAAAAGAAAAAAGTCTCGGTTCGATTACTTAAATTTGAATTAAGATTGATTAATTCGACGTGAATCCATTTTTAAGCTAAATTTGCACCTTTAAAATTCATGCCAATCTCATATGAGCTTTGTTTCCCCGTCAGCCATCGTTTAGTGTTGACTGTTCTGTGATGGATAGATTATAAACTTTTTCATGGAACATTTATTGCGTATATTAAAATCTTTTCCATTTAGATTGAATTATTTTCAACAAAAAGGATGCCGTTTATTGCATTGTCGCTCATTAAATAGTAATCAATATTATTAGTGAGCTCCGAGTATTTGTTTCTGAATGTTTAATAAACTAAGGAGTAACTCGAATAAAAGCAAATTCTTTTCTTGGCTCACTTTCAGCCATTGAAGTTCCAGAAATTTTATTTCAATTACTTAGATTTCAAACTTTTCCGAGGCGTAATTTGCGAAATACACTTTTGACTGTAAAACAAAACAATCAAACGGTGAATTCGCTTTTTTTATATCTTATATGAAATGAGTAAAATAAAAAATCTAATCTCAATTGTAAATTCAGTTTGATACAACGCCGGAAAACCACGACAGATTTCAGGAAAGGCGTATGAGAATATCAAAAATAAGATATGCGTGATAAGATCAATTCCTCGGATAGGAAGATCCAGTCGTAATCACTATCAATCGCTTTCATTTATCAATGCAATAGTATAAATTCAATCTTTTGGGTTAATTTGTTTTTCGAAATCTCGATAAAGACCCGTATGCGTTCCCCGCGGCATTACTTCTTTTATTAATGATTATAACTGTTGTTTCCTCCTGCGGTAAGTTGAAATATGAAATCGATAGTGTTCAGAATGTCGCGAAATATAATAATTAGTTGGTGAGTTCACTTTATTCAATCAAATAAATGTTAATGATTAAATTTTAAAAAAGATTAATTTGCAAATCTTAACAATACGATTATCGGGAATAAACGAAAATAAACTGTACAACGTTAATAAATATAAGCGAACAGAGATTTTTGAGTTAAATTAATTAATATTTTGAGCAACATTTATGCTATCGATTTCTAGTAGGATTCATTACAATTTACAACGCAAAATTGTCACTAGAAATTCTGAGACTTGAAAGAATTTTTCAAACTTAATTTTTAGCATGTTAACATTCGGAACTGAAAAGGCGATAACCTTTAGCACGGCTGATTTTGCAATGCGATATCGGACAGCTACATTTTCACGCAATTTTCGAATTCAAATCACCTGTTAATTATTAAATAAATAATAAATCATCAAGCGTATGAAGTCCCTTTGGACTTCAAATCTTTCCGTTACAAACACCGATAAATAAATGCATATAAATGATTTAACCAAGCTTCTACACGAATTCGTCGATAGCCCCGTTCGCATTTGCAGAAGAGAAACGTTTCAACAATGGTTGTCAGGGATTCACCGGATTCATGGATCTGGCCAATAACACGGATTAAACTTCGCGTTCCATGACATGGGCGCCTAAATATATTATCCACCCGGTCGCAAAACACCAACGTAACCATTTCATCCAATTTGATGATATTTTCTTCCTCCAAATGGCAGCTTGCACCATTTGGACATTCACAAATCCTTTCACCTGTTAGGTTAGCTGCTTTTGAAAAATCGAATATATGTGTGGGTGCAAGGAATTCGTCATACAATGGAAAATCTCTTATACTAGACCCAACATTCCTACTGGAAGCTTCTTCTGATCTTAGCAAAGGGTAAGAATGAAGTTGCGCACTGCAAGCTATTTCAGGTTGGGCGCAAATACCAATAGCTAAGATGGCTTTTGCCGAAAGTAGAAGTAAAAGAATAAAGATTAGTTGAACTGATATGCGTCGCTGTCGGAAGCGCAATGATGGAGCAATTAGTAGTAATTGGAAAATATCCGCTAAACTGTCGATGATTAAGGCTTGCCGCAACATGACAATTCCTCAATAGAACAGCTGTTCCGCACTGAAAACTACCACCTGAAAGCGATGCTAATAGAACAAAAAGATGGTTCCAAATCTTGAACAAGTGGTAGCAACAGCAGCAACAGCAGCAATAGGTGTAGGTAGGGAGTACGGCGGTATTGTAGTTCGGAATGAAGCCTTTCAAGATTTATGGATGGATACATGTGCAGAAGATAGTGATGGATCGCCGAGAAATAAATGAATTGGTGAATAGGTTTCGATAAAATGCAGTCGATTCCTAGTTCAATTCAGTGACGTCATATCCATCAAGCTTATCACGCCTCGCCTCTTCCATACAATCCGTTTTTCTGATTCATACGCTCTCCCTACATTAATCTGATTGAATCATTTGTATGACGAGCTAATAGGACCTACAAACTGCTTGTTCGAAACATACGAAAACCAGAAAAAGTTTATAAAACTTGTTCGGAAATATCAATCGTAGCATTAATCATTAGTTTCTTCCACTCACTCATTTCCGAAACTGTACATCAATTCAACAGTATATGAACACAGCTCAGATTTCATTTCTAACATCTTCTGTTAGATTAAAATGAAAACAATGAAAGCACTGGTCAATCAAGGATGATTTCCCTGTTCCTTTAACTTCTATTTCATCTGTCATTTTACAAAGGTATTTGAACATGCTCTTGCACAAATAACGCCGCAGTCTCCATATGTGAACTTAACCTGATCTTCCGTTATAAGCTCATGTATGTCTCCAAATCAATGGATGACTAAAAATATGCCGTCAATTTGCAACATTATCCATTGTTCTCTGAAGCAAATTCTGGAAATCGAAAACTACCCAATCTTTGTCGTGAACCATGCATGTCAGACAAACACGCATACTTGATTACAAAGACTGAATTGCTTTTATTGCAAAAGGCATGTAAATAATGCCCTATATGCTGTTTATATACAGCGAAATAATATTTTCATTCCACAAAACTATAAACAGATCTACAAATACACAGCGCGAAAACCTGTCCATGTTTCCGTCACAAATAGAAGGAAAAGGCAACAAAATCATCAGCTATGAGTAAAGGAGAAAGGGAAGGGAAAAAAAACGATAGGAAAGCTTATTTCCTCTCTGATATCGCATTCGCAAGTGCGAATATACTGAAATCAGCGTTTTCCAAACCTAAAAAAGTCCGTAATATGGATCTGAATCTCCCGTTCACCAAAACTCTATTAATTCACCAAACAGTTCACCAAAGCAAATCAAGATAGAAATGCATGGGTGCACCGAGACATGAAGGAAATCCCTACAGGAAACATCATAAAATATTCACAGAAAATAAACTGAAGATCTGAAACCCAAAAACCCTTGATATTTGTTGATTAAAAAATTTATGTTAAAATGAACAAAGAATTTCTTATAGTTCACTGAGGTGTTTCTATCGCTGTGCAAGAAACAAGACCCAGAACTGAAGGAGGATCAAGAAACCGGAAGTTCAAGTTTAGTTACAAGGAAACCTCAAATTTCAGAATTCAGAACTTTAGAAAACGATATTAGTCCAAAAATGGACTGATAGACCATAAAATTAATGAAAAACTTTACCTAACATAAATGAAAATAATTAAAACGGACCAAAATAAAACTCATACAATTGAAAGGTCATTCATCATCTAGGTATCATACAATTACTGAACCCATAAGGTTGAATCACTGAACTGAGACATTAACATCCTATCTTCGCCTTAAACGCCTAAAAAACCGAAGGTCCATAAAATTCCGGGTTCAGTCACAAATCCTCGTTTCTTTCTTGAAAAGCAATGATAGGATAAAGCCCGTAAAGGTTTCTTTAGAGGTGCTTATGCCTAAACAAAGATGCAACATCAAGCATATGATTATCGCTTTCAAATTTCAAAAACTGACAAGACAAATAAGTGCGACAGATGTTTAATTATTTCTACTTAAGTTTAGAGTTAAGTGAAATTAGAAAACTCCTTCTTGCAAATATTCATGATTTCTTCTAAATCACAAAGAGTACACGATAGAAAGACTTGAAATATTGTAAAAATCTTTCCGAAAAAAAGTAAATTGAGTTAAAGACCACACATTATGATACAATACAAACAAAAGATTACATCCATGCAGGAACTACAATCAGTTACTCTCAGTTCATAAATGTACCACAACGAATTCCTAGAAACAAAGCAAGGACGGGACGGGGATGAAGAAGAGAGAAAAAGAAAAAAGAGAGGACCACACTGCTGGGAAGTGAATTTCCAGTCGTCCATCTATAACATTTAAGCGGTGAACCTCCAGAAATCATGCTCCACCCCTTCTGCACAATGTTTTAGCAATGTCGTACGTCTCTGTTCTACGTAACGATACTTATCTTGCACCTGAAAGAAATAAAACAGGTGAGTTATTTTCTCCGCCGATAGATGTATGACCACTATCATAAAATATATGCCGACCTACTAAGATGCCAGAATTGTCAGAAAATACATCGCATCTTATGGTAGTAATAAGCTCTATAAGAAACCTCATACATTTTTATTTGAATCGAAGAGTCAAAGATCTTACGAAATCCACCGCTAAGAGGTGAATGATAGCTTGACCTATCTAATCAATATACAGTAATGTTTTTTAGAAAATTTTTGGAACTGATTCGTTGTTTCAGTATTATCTCATAGGTGCAAATCTTACTGCTTTTGTGTAGCAGTACCTGTAAACAAGAAATCACCTTTTGTTTCAGACTAACGAGATTTTCATGGTCCAGGTCTCTTTCCAAAAACTCCGACAACTGTTCGGTGGCATGTTCCAGATCACGCTGATTCTCTTCAAATATTACCGACTGGTTATCTTTTTGTAAATAAAACGCAAATGCATATGTATACATCAGCGTACGGCGACATTCCGAAAGAACATCCACCGCTTTACGTAAAAACTGCACCTCGATCCAGGACATATTTGCCTGTTGCATGACTTCCATTTTGGATTTTACAATTGAATACAGCTGAAAACAGAAAAATCACGAAACGGAAAATTAACTAAGATTAAGTCCAAGTATTGAGGAGTAGATTCTCGAAAACTTTCTGCGATTAAAGAAGGAGATTCACAGAAATTCATAACTTCCATCAAAAGCAACATAGGAATTAATTTGGATATCTATCTTCCATGCATCCCTCGAAAAAAACCAGATGTTGTTCGTGATCAACCGAGATTCCATGATAAGGTCTCGGTTAGTCACGAACATTTGATTTTGCTTCTAGATTTGAATGGAATTTTCTGCACACTCACTTTATGTTCCAATTTCAAACTTTGTTGATGATTCATGTACCGATTGTAATAGTGTAAGTATCTCTGTAGCGCAGCGCGACTTCGTTCTTGTGCATCACGTGCTTGTTTCGCCAATGTATCATCATATCGGTTACAGGAGTACCATGAACTGCCATGCGGTTCCCACGGACCAAGACACATCCAACAAAATTCCATTTTACAAGCCACATTCTTGCATGTCATATGGTTGCACCCTCCATCCTTTTCTATGGTCACCTGCAAAAAAAAGGAAATTATTTTAAAAAGCTAAGTTCTTTATCCAGGCTTCAATAATATTCCAGAATATAGATTTGAGGTTGCACTGGAAGTGAAGAAAAAGTACAGACAAACAGGACTTACACAATATTCTTTCCTTCCCCTTTACAAGCTTAATGTGTTGATTCGTATTTCACATCTTCCGAACTCTTCACCTCCTCAACAGATATCGAAACTTCTGTACATTCCTCCGGAAGTTTTACATTTTCGATAACTTACACAACGTCGTGAGCTCATAAGCTGATAGTAGTACTTATCTCAATCAGCGACACATCCCACGAGTAGAAAACTGCTTAATCAAAAGACGAAAAATATAAATATGAACTTGAAGTAAAAGCTTCCAAGAAGCTAAATGAAAAGTTTACCTGACATTTGGGACATTCTTTGGTATTTGCTGATATCCAGTTGCTCGTCTCACTGTCATCGTTGCACTTCTTAATCCATAACTTCAGAAGTCTACAGTTGACAGGCTCGTGCCATTCGTGTCCACATGCGAAACAAAAAACTGTACCACAAGTACATTTGACAGGACGCGCTTCCAAATGTCCTACTTCAATAACACGTCCACAGTCAGCAGCTGGACACCACCGCAATAAACGATTGCACTGAAATTGAATAAATAAGAGAAAACAATTCAAATAACTTTCGCCCAAATGCTTTCCGTAAAAACTTCACTAAAACTTCTCCCCGCAACATAGCAGTGTAAAAAGCAGTGGCGAATAAACGCGAAGAAGTTCCGTGACAAAGAAAAATATAAAGATTTATAAGCAAATGTATTGCAATTTTTTGTATGTATTGGGGCACACTGGAGTACATTTGTATGTACTAATTTATATGTACCAATTGGATAGCGACTAAGATTTGAAAATCATCTCAATTTTTTTTTTGGATGAGTAAGATGGTATCACTGTCCATAGAGTTATATATGTGCTCACTGTTTAGCAATGTATCCCAAGAGCGCTAAACTAATATGAGCTCATAAAACACTATAACAGTGTGTGATAGCAAAGGCGCTAGTCTTTGTAATCGTAAAACCAATCTTTGAAGGACATATATAAACCCTGCACACAGCAGAATTACTTCCCCCTTCCTTTTATTCACCAAATTGGTGTCTTCCGGATTTATCTTTTCTCGACACTGGTATAGCATTTTTGAGCTTAGCTTTACGCGTTAATTTGTATTTTGTAATTTTTAATAATTATGCGAGGTTAATAGTGCTGTTTCTTTTTCCAATGGTTTAATTACCGAAATCTGAGATGGAAATAAAGAAAACCTAGCAAATCTGGCGTCTCATTATGAAAAATACTTCCAAAAATGAAAAAATAAAAATAAAAAAAATGCACAAATTTTTTAGTTCAAGAGTTTCGATGTTAAAATTCAAAAACGAAGCATCTTTAAAAGATGTTTTAAGCAAATCATAGAAACACTGTTCCGTATATCAACTAATAGATTAGGATAAAAAGTACATCAGCAAATGGCATAAAAAACCTTATTTTAACTTTCAAAATACCTCCACGAAACTATTGATTATCAAGCGGCGATATCTTTTCTTCGCATTTTCGCTTTTCACTAGCGTCAAAGTTTTCTCGTCATCAACTATGATCGGACAGTTGTGTTGTGGGCAAGCCACATGCGCTCGGCCCTCCTCCATGATCTAAATTTAAATGACAAATCTTAGCTTTCCTCATGTTCTTTAGAATACAAATAAGAGCCTATCAATTGAACAATAACTTTCAATTAGATTTCTGAATCCTTCATCTTGGTCTTACCTGTCTCCGACTTTCACTCACTTACCTTAGTTGTTAAATAGGAATCCCAGCATAGATAACAGAAACGATGATTGCACTGCAGGCCTGTCAAAATGGTACGATTACAGCAGATGATACAAGTATCAACAACATCTGTAAGCGCTTCATCGCCACGATGTGCCACTTTAAATGGCGAAATGATGTTGGCGTCCAAAAAAAACGAATCCATATCAGTACTTTCGTAAAACCTTAAAGCCGCAAAACCTTCGACTTAAAAATCTCAAAAGAAGAAAAAGCATAGCAAGACTTGAAATTTTATTCAATCATAAAATTTCATGTAAGATACGAAACGTGCGATAAAGAATGAGAGTCACCAGTTTTGAACAAAAGAGACTAATAGAAAAATTCAGCGCAATTCAAGAAAACGAAAACATACCTTTCTAGCAAACTTTCTTTATTCCATTTATAATGATGTAAAAGTAATCTACAGATAGTAGCCGATAGACGCAACACCGATGCAACATCCTCTATGATTTTATTCATTTCGAAAGCTACCTTTTCGGCATCCAGCACCTGTAAGAACTTTTTCCAATAAACACTGTGCCAGCATAACGCTTCAGATTTTTCAAACAATATTTGTTATTCCAACACGCACACACATACCACACATACACACTGTATATACATACACATCATCGTTATAACAGCATTTTCTAGATCAGAACAACATCTTACAGTGTTCATTTACTGGGTACTGAGAGCACAGAAAGACCAAGTGAAGTTTTCAGAAAACCTAGGATATTTTTTTGGTTTTGTCTTTAACAAGGGCAATTGAGAATACAAAGAGAAAGAATGGAAGAAAACACTGCAAAGTAAATATAAACATGGGAAACTTATACTTTAGAGATAAGAGAATTAATGTCATATTACAAACTAAGAACTCCAAAACCAATCAATTAATAATACTGCACTTTATTTTCTTTAAGTTACAATAAATCATAGTTTGCGAGAAATACGAAGTCCTTAAAAAAGCTTTTTCTATTGTTTCAATACTCTTAATATTATAAACGTAGCCTGAAGAAATCAATAAAAATAGAGTTACGTTTGGGAATAAATTAATCTAAAACTACTTTGCTGTTTTAGTACCGTTCATCGTTGTCTTCGATGGTAAAATGTTTTAATTACAGTCGTTTTATACATTCATGTTACTCATACCAAGTCTTTTCCGATGCTAACATTTATTTAACAGTTCATTGACTCTTATTGAACAACCCTGACAGAATGATCATAAAAATCAAGCACCACTAAATTTAAGTTTTACAATCAATGAAAGACATGAAGACGGTCAGCATCATCCAGAACAACTGTGCCGGGCATGCATTTGCACTACCAAGCAGAAATGGTTTACAATAAGCAATCGCATGATTCTGCCCAATAACTGAAACCATGCTTCCCAGCACTAAACATTTCATGATTATCTTTAGGTCAAACTGCTCTTCGTGTTTTATCGTTTTCAACTGCAAATTCATAGTCAAATCAGCAAGACACCTGGAAATCAGCTGATTCACTGTCATGGCTACCACCACGTTCTGTTTTGATCACAGGTGGATCCACCACTATACCATCATCATCGCTGTACGTTGACGTGGCATCACTTTCTGAGCCACCCGAAAATGCACCGTCATCATCCATCGCCTCGTCACTTTCTAGCGACATCCAAGCGGAATCCCTCACTCTTTTCAACGCTTCTGCACTTTTCCTGTACTGTTTTTTGGAATAGCTACGGAATAATAACCATGCAACCGTTACTATGTTTTACACCAGTTCCTTTTGTCCTATTTTTCCAAAAAGGTCGTGTCACACAACCAAATAGCAAACAGTGATGGAACACCTGAAATACATCTCATTTTATACGAAACATGACGGTAAGTAAATCTGTATCTTTGCATAAAAACTATACGCACCACGAGCACGTGAGAATATCACTTTTCCGTAAGAAATTACATGTTCTGTTAGGGATATCAAGAATAACATGTGCAACTAGTAAAATCATTATATAATATGTGTAAATAGGGCACCATCATAAGATGCATCAGCAAAAACAGTTTGTTCCAAAAGGTTGAGGCTGCATATCGTGCGTGTTACGGTACTACCATCGAGTCGTCACTCGTACTGTGCGGATAAGACCAAAAAGAAAAATTAAACTCAAACGATCAAACGATTCAAACGATCAATCACATTTCTTCGAATTCCAAAACATCTCATTTACCCAAACAGATTGTTGACAGCCGATGGCAATTTTGAAAGGTCAAAGGCACCTTGCCAATAGTAGTAACGAAGAAAATTCGTCCCACACAATCCGAAATTTGTATGGAAACTTCGAACAATACGATGGAATACTTTCAGTAACATGTGAGAGACGGTATTGTGGTGCATTGGGGTACGGGGGGGGCGGGGGAGGGGGGGAGAAGTGTGGTGGTGTAAGGGTAGTAATAAATCGCCAATTGGAAGTGGAAGAGAAGATTGAGAAAGATAAAGATTGCTAAAACTGTAAAACAGGGCAGAAGTACCACGGTTTACAACTGTAACAGAGATTGAAAGCATTGAGACAAGAGAGGATAATGAGCGAAAATGTGTGGGCGAAATTGAGGGAATGTCGAGAATCTTGATATTTTGAACTGTGGTATAAATACTAAGCGGTAGTTGAGTTATGATCGATCCAAACGGATTGGCTGAAAAATTACTGCTTGTTGTACCTTGTTAGCATCCCTCAGATACATTGAAACTACTCTCATCTCCCCTCAAATATGATATTTTCAGGAATACGATACACCTGAACATGAAGTAATGAATCGGTGATGTTCGGACAAATCGTTATTGGTGCACCGGGTGCAGGAAAAACAACTTATTGCGACGGCATGAGCCAGATCTTGTCGCAGCTTGGCCGACGTGTCATTTGCGTAAATTTAGATCCAGCAAATGATTACGTGCCATATAAATGTGATATCGATATTCGAGAATTAGTGAAAGTGGAAGATATCACCAGTCGGTTGAATCTTGGTCCTAACGGAGCATTAAGGTTGTTTATGTATTGCTTATCATAACAGTGATTTAACAACCGGGAGAAATATATCTAGTTTTCGGTGATTACCTCTGAACTCGGAGTTCGGAAATTGGAAAAATTCCTTTTTACTTGATCAATCCGTGAAGTTTAACAAATTTAGCTTACGATGCTCACTTATCATCGAAATATCTAAGCATCTCGGGGAAGGTAATTTGTTGACTTCGTTTTTCAGCGATATAGATTTATTCGGGATGTAATATTGTTCTTGCACAATATTACTAATGGTAAGCAGTGATAAATGAGTTATACAATAAACAAGCAATACGATCAACAAACAAATTCCTTGTCGTTGCCTTCGATAATAGTTGACTGTAGGTTGCGTAATGAATGAGATATAAGAATTCGTCCTTCGATGAGCCGGGGATATGTTGCAGCAAATATTTCTAGCGAAAAGAAGGAATATTGTAGCTTGTTATTCAATGGTGGCGGATATGCGAAGAATGTCGTAGTTTGCTTGATTATCAAAAGCTAAACTGTTTCGGATTTTTCCTCATATATATATATATATATATATATATATA